ATCCGGGATGCCATTCCCTCCTGGCTCCAGCTCGGTGCTGGCATGTTGGGAGGGCATGGCATGGCTGAGCACTGCCCTTGCTCCCTGCAGACCATGCTGTTTACAACCTCTACGCTGTCTCCAACCACTCGGGCACCACCATGGGGGGACACTACACCGCCTACTGCAAGAGCCCCATCTCCAGCGAGTGGCACAGTTTCAACGACTCACGGTAAGGCTGCGCGTGGGACAGGGGTGGCTGTGAGGTCAAGGCAAGCAGGGACCCCCTGCACAGGGCATCCCGATGCCACCTCCTTGTTGCTCACAGCACGTCTCCCCCATCTCCACAGTGTTACCCCGATGTCATCCAGCCACGTCCGCAGCAGCGATGCTTACCTGCTCTTCTACGAGCTGGCCAGCCCGTCCTCCCGCATGTAGCCAGCCCTGGAGACCCCCTGCGCCACCCCTCGGAGCCGGACCCTACGAGTTTCGGCCGTTTGCCCCCCAGGTGCAAGTGGGAGACGAGGAGAGACCCCAAGGTGGCTGCAGTGGGATGCTGGAGGCATCCAGGAACAGACCGCGGGCAAGGAGACCCCAGCTCCGAACTGAGGAGGGCAGCCTGCGGCAGGGCAGGGCCCAGGCAGCTCAGGCACCTCCTGGTTGCTGGCATTTGGTTTTTACCTTGGGGTACGTTTTAGTTTCTTTTTTTTTTTTTTGGTTGGTGTGTAATAAAAACACTGAGCAAGGGACTCTGCAGGCATGGGGCTGCCTGCCCCATTGACTCAGCCAGGACCTCTGCTCCCCTGGGGGACCACCCAGAGCTGGGGACCCAGGAGAGCCTCCTGCATCCCTCCTGGCCGCTTGGCACTCCCGTTCTGTTTGGCCATCCCAGAGGATTTGTGAACTGCTCCCAGCCTCCTCATGGCACTCCTGAACCTCCTGGCAAAGGACCGCAGCCCTTTAGTTGCCTCCATCCCGTCTCAGGCAGCACGTCCCCACCAGCTCAAAGCAGCCTGAGTTCAGGCCCAGACCCATGAACAGGAGGGAGGAAAACATTCTGTGGAATTTATAGCGGACTTCGCATAACCTGGAGCACCCGACCGCTTCCTGGATCTCCAGAGACTTGTGCCGGGGGATGCTTCGGGTAGGTTTTTACCTGCCTCCTCATACGACGGTGCCTTAAACCATTTAGGGGAGCAGGAGGCCATTGGGGTTGCACAGGAACCTGTGGAGGAGTGGGAGAGGAGGACAGTGTGGCTTTCCGGGACCATCTGCAATGGGGCTTTCTTCTCCCTGTGATCAGAAGCCCCCCCTGGGTGCCTGGGGATGGGTATCCCCACCCACCCTGCTGCTCTGTCCTCCAGCTAGCAAATGCCAGTGGCCTTTTTAGCTTTTTCTCTAATTTATTCTCCTCCCCATCCTGCCTTGCCTGAGGTGCAGCAGGAGGAGGGATGGGCCCTATCCGGCACAACCCCAACCCCAGCCCGCAAGGCAGCTACGTCCGACCCGGCAACCCGTCCTACTTGGCCCTGCGGGCACAGGCTGAGCACTCTCGCGCCACGAGCATCCCACCCAGCCCGGGGCATCCCGGCGGGGCTCGGAGGAGGGCAGGCCAGGATGGAGAGGCTGCCCGCGGCAGGTACCGGACTGGGGCAGCGTTGCTGCTTGGCAGGTGGCTTGTTTACTGTGTAAGCAAGATGGGTGGGAAGCGTCTCGTACAAGGGAGACTCGTGCAGGAATAAATTTTGGCTTGAACAGAGCGCCGTGTACATGTGCTTCCTCTGGGTGGGCAGGCGCAGGACTGT